TCTTTATACAGAATGGGGGTTTTTTTTTTCCATATGGCATACCTCAATGCAGGTCTTATAACAGAATAACTGGAAGGTCGAGATTCTGAAACCTAATATGTGGCTACGAAGTGGTTTGTCATGACCTGGTGGATGCTGGGTGGCTAAATAAGCTTAAAAATACACACCCAAGATACAAGCACATGAATATAGTAATGTTAATATGGAAACATCAGGTTAGTACACGCGCGTTTTAAAAAACCTGGTTATCTAGTAGTGGCTGTAGCATGGCGCTGGCTGATCCTCCGGCCTTGTAGGTGTCTCTCTGGTAGGAACCCACTGGGTCAAAGCTGTACACTGCTCCCTTACCTGTATTACAATTACACAATATTACAAACAGAAACAGGCTTTTACATACAGTAACACAGTAAAATCTTAATAGTTTTAAACATAACACAAACTAACAGTATGACACAGGAGTAACATTAAAAAATAACACCTCAAGCACCCAGCACTACACTACACATGAATTATTTTATTTTTGTAGACTGTCACCTCTTTGGGATCATTGTCGTTTGTTTTTTTTTTGGTTTGTTTTTTTTTTCTGGCGGGGGGGGGTTGCCCGTTTGTTCTTATTATTTTGTGCATGTTTGTGCATTATTAGATTATAGTGGTGGATTACAGAGAATAATAATAAAGTTGTTAGATATGAACACTAAAGTAAGTAAACCTTAAAGTTTTGGTTAAAAAAGTGTGATCAGATCAAAACCTCCCTCCTTCTTTGTCTATCCTGCAAGACATTTTCATTTATCAGTTTAACTGAGAGAGTAAAAACGTATGTAACTGTATCCTGTACCCTTCACAGAGTTCATTAGCACAAATTCAGAGTTCAAAACATGCTGTTAAAATCCAGTTAGCCTGCCAAACAGTGGACTGCTCCAAAAATGCCTTTAGAATAAAACTATATTGTTTTCTCTGTGATCTTTCCTGACATTTTTACTGGACTAAAAATTCTGAGTGTTGGACTATGTGCCAGGTAAGTTCACACACAAGTGGATGAAGGCTCCCAAGTTCTTGTTCTTGTAACCCATCTTTCATGGCTATGTATGCTAAGAGAGATCTGATATCCAACTGACTTGATATCTACAATAATTGCTTTTTTTAATATATAGACACATTACAGTGGAAATGCTCATCATAGCTTGTCCACTCAAGCTTTAGCTCAATTATTTTACTGTGTTAATAAAAGTTGTTTAATGAAGTCTCTTGGCAACTTTTAGTTTGTTTCCCAAAGTTGTTATACAAACTAATGTAGTCTCACAAACTTTATTCACTTAAATGTGTCTTCTGCACAAAAAATAATCTATAACCATAGCAAGAAAAAAAGATCTGCAGCCCAAACACAGTTTAAAAAAAAAAGTAGTCATCATAATATCAGCACCCACCCTCTTCATCCAATCCTCCAATGATGTTGTAGACGTAGTAAGGAAAGAATCTTCTGCTGTACAGGATGGTGGACAACATGGCTGCAATGGCTCCGCTGGTCATAGTCTTGTTGTTCGAGTGTTTGTACATCTGAAAGGAGAGAAAGCATTAGAACAGCTGTGTTTTAGCAAGACAATGCTGACTGAGAGTCCTGAAGTGGGTGTGGATGATAGCCTGTTATATTATCCATCATGCAATGTGAAGTCTTTCTGCACCACTTCACCTTTAGTCTGGCATCAATTATTTTTGTCAGAGTCAGGCAGTCGCCATGGAAACCACTACAGCCAATTACAGTTGTGTCAGTCCTGCAAGAGGAGAACATTCTGATCAATATATTATTTATCTGGTAGCTTTATCCCCAGAAAACAACAGCTCATTTTTGGCACAAAAAAGAAAAAATGTACACACTATTAAAGGTCTCACGGGGCTCTACCCATAATTCATAACCTGTTGTTTCCCAGTGGCTTCACAGAGAGATGACAGTGCACTTACAGCTTATAGCATTTTGGGGAGTCCCGGCTGTGGATTGAGTAGCCTTCACTCAGCCTGGTGTCTGAGGCTACAATGGCAAAGTCTTCTCCGGCAACAGCCAGTACAGTTCTGAGGAAATACACCACAGAGGTCAGCCTGTTCACCTCACAAGAGCGGAAAAAAGTCTGCTGCACCAGGAAACTGCAAATGGCAGCTACAGGCTACTGATCCGAAACTGAAACTGTAGGTTTAACTAATTTCTAACAAAAATCTCTCGCTCACAATATAACTTTTTTCCACTAAGGTTAGATAAATATATAGGTATACAGTTATATCGCAGACAGGATCAGAAACTTTTCATTAACTCAACAACTGCTTTGTTGACAATTCATTTTCGGAGCGGGTTAGCTTGAGTCCAATGTAATAGGATGTAAACGTTAGCAAAGAAGCAAGCTAACTACACAGGAATTGAAAATAAGCCCTCACCCTCCGTTGAAGGCGTATGGAGAGAACTTGTGCTCTACTGGACCAGTATAATGATAATCTTTCATCTTCCCAGGATCCCCGAAATGCTGAGAAGAAAGCATAATTGAAGGAAAAGGCCGACGGTGCTGAAGCTTCTTTCAGATAAACTCGCTGTATCACTGCAATATGGCAGCCTCTTCTTTTACGGTCGTCACAACCGAGTCCTCAAAGCGCCTCCGCGTGACAGCGCCTCCACAGGCCGCTCGAAGTAATGCACACCACACGTTTAATAATGCTTTCACTAGCCAAAAAAATATCTCTGAAATTGAAGAAAGAAAGACAAATTGTAATCGAAAGATCAAATTTGCTCCGTTTTTTTTTTTGAAATAAGATACTTCAGAATCTTAAGAGTCTGAATTGACTTGAAGCGCATTTCTTTTTGAGCAATTACAGTTTTAGTTTATTTTAGGCTTGAAATACTGGGGATACTGGCTTCTTGGAACTTTTGTGCATCACTTGCATATTAATGTAAAGAAACAGGAAGAAATTAATAAGAATCTAAAATCAGTTGGAGATTTGACCCATATTAATATACATGGTAATGCCATTAGACAGCTTATAATGTACAAATACTTAGGGGTGCAAATTCATAATGCACTTACCTGGAACATACATGTGAAAAGTATATGTGTCAGAGTTCATCAGCAGCTTCATTTTCACTGGAGACTGAGTTTTTGGGGTCTGCTGCAACACTGTGTCAATTTTTTATAGAACTACTACAAAGTTTGTCTTAAATTTATGGCATCAGCAACTGGTTTGGAAATTTACCACTCAAGATCAAATTTTAATTTGATTAAAACGGCAGGAGAAAAAAAAATCACAGCAACAACACTCCTCAGTCACCAAGATATTTTTGCCTGCTTTTGAGCAGGCTACCAGGATTTTATCCGACCCCTCACACGTCCTGTTCTCAGAGTTGATGAACTCTGGCAGAAGGAACCAAGTCCCCAGTGTAAGTATAACTGTTGTAAACATTATTTGTTCCACTGTCAATTAAACTGATAAATGAGCAGGTCATGAGTGAATGACAGAGAAGTGTTGAGGTTTTTTAAAGTTAGTTGTTTTTTAATTATCACCTACTCTTAAGTCTGTGTGTGACATTTTAGTGCAGCAGTTGCCTGATCCAGGATGATTTTCTCTGGGAGAGTTAAAAAAAAAAAAAGTTATCCTGTATGGTGCTGTGGCAGGCCACTTTCTCCAACATGGCCACTTTCTCCAACATGGCTCAGTGGCTGAATCAGATTACTTCAGCCTCATCACACTGCTGAACTGCTGTGAGCATGCATCTCAAATTTATAGTTTCTGCACAAAATACCTAAATTAAAATCACACTTAGCGATAAAAGCACACCTGTTAGTACATACTGAAAATTTTATCAGTAATATATGAACTATGGATGTACTTCTCTATAAATAATGCAATGTACACAATATAACCTTACAGTATTAACTAAATTGCCATCTGTCTATGCAGTGGTAAAGCTGTTTGGCTCTGATATTTAAGAGATAAAATAATGCAATGCTGAACTGAGACAGTTTTTTCTGCTCAGCCTGTGAAAAAAATAAATGGAAAGGTAAAGCAGGAGGACACATGACTGACAGGGGCTCCTTTTAACATCATAAAATACTGATAGAAAAAAAGATAAACTGTTCTTTTTTTAAAAAAAAAAAAGCTTTATTTAAAAAAAACAACAAAAAACACATTTAACTTCAATAACCAAAGCATTATATTCAACAACAAATATCCCGTTAACAACCTGCTTATTGCAGGACAGCAGGAAACATTTCAAGTTAATTGCAGAAACATCAATTAACCATCGAGGTGATGGACGCTAAATTCAATGTAATCACAATTCAATGTAATTACGAGTGGTTCCATTTTTCTGAGACTTTGTTTCGTTAATAAAGACTCACTCCCAAAACTTGAAAACTCCTGCAGCTATGAGGTCTGACAGCCAGTGTCTTTTACATAAGCACCATGTCATTATTCACTTGAATAAGATTTTACTGGCCCGCCTCTGTGAATCACACATTATCAACATACAAACTGTAATTCAAAAGATATAAAAAAAAAAAAAAAAACACCAAAAAAACAAAGACAAAGACAGAATTTTGAGAGAAAAAAAGATCAGCTGTTTCAGTAGTAAAACGATCAAAAGCACCATTTTCCCAGCAAACAAGTTATCACTGCAGCAACATAACGAGGCACAAACTGCACGATTTAACAATGAACAGGCGACACTGTTAGTGGTTTGGTCAAAGGATTCAGTGCAGCAAATCTGGATGGATCCGAGTTCCAGTTTAGCTTCTACATTATTTATGTATGTGGAGGTCATTCTCCCGAGCTGCTCTGTTGAAGGTAATCCCTAATGTGGACACATACATAAGTTAATAAAACCGTAATGCACTGATCGTGTTTATTGGTGGGAATTAATTATGTTTTAAATTATAGGCCTGCAGCAGAAAAGTCTTAGTCTGTATATTAAAGACACACCAAACAGCAACAGCAGGTTAAACATTCAGTTTGGATTTTTTAATATTTGGAAGGAAGCTTCACTACTGTGTTTGCTTTTTTTTCTTTTTAAATGGATCACAAACTGTGCATTTATCTTTTTCCGTCAAAGCTGTTTGGCCAAACACTTATCTGTCATTTTCCAGTTCCACAGCTTCTAATGGCAGTGCATTTGTCTAGAATGTGATAACAGGATTGTTATGATTAATGGAACCGCTGATCATTTCTGAGCTGACTTGTTCTTTTTGGGTGTTTTAGCTCCTCCTTTCTTCTTGGGCGTGGTGAAATTTTTGTCGCAAACTTCACATATCCAAAGACCTGAGGAGACAGAGAGAATTAATCAAAAACATGAAAAAAACTACACTCAGCTCAAGAAGTGAACTTCCTTTGCAAACCTAAAAATCTGGGATTAAACCTGAAGGTTACTTGGCTAAGCCCCAAATCGTGTTTCGCAGTACAAGCCTCAGGTATTTGTTGGTCTAAAAATCGCCTTTGTAGGTCCATCTACTCACCTGTAGGTATGGAATCCATGCCCACGCAGAAGGTGTGATATCCTCGATCGCACATGTCGCAGAACATCATCTCGTCCTCGTGGTGGGGCTGCTGGCACACGGTGCAGGTCTTACACTCCATGCACTGCCAGCGGTACGTCTGGATCATGCTCACCAGCTCCTCGCTCATATCCAAGCAGGATGGGTGGCCTGAAGTTCACGGACATGTGCAAAGAAGCAGAAGAGCCGGAGAGACACACACGAACCCAGATAAATACATGACACATGGAAAAGACAGGCAAAATACCGCCCTGATATTTTACTGACCCCAGTAAGGCATTTATCCACCGACATACTAAAGCCCATCATCTAAAATAGTAATATTTGTGACATTAGAACATTTTCAGGTATAATAAATAAGATGCTGAATTTTTCTACCAATTAAACAGCCTTCATCCGAATACCTGGTAATTCAATTGACAGATGACTTTGAACCACACAAGCTAAACTCTCTTACATACAGTATCATAAACAGTACAAATACTTTAAATCATGCTTACACACAGGTATATAAAGTTAGCCAGCTGTTTAACACTTAACTAAAAGTTTCCTTTGACTAAATATGGAGGTGACTTAATACATGTTAACTGCTGATGACTAACTAGACAATTTGTAGCAAAATACAAACAGATGTGATTAAACTGCCCTCTGGAGTTGAGTGTGTGAACTTACCGCTGTTTTCACACTCGGAGCAGTGAATGAGAGCCTCTGGCTTGCCTTTCTTGTTGGCCTCTTTACCCTTCTGGCAAATGCCACATATATCACTGGGAATGACCTTAGGCTGCAAGGGCAGAATAATGCTATAAAAATCACACACGAGCATCCTGCAGTCATGGGTGTAATTAGAAACAAAACTTTCAATATTTGGTGTCAAAGCTGCATTTAAGGTTTTGGTGAACATAGATTTTATTATGTTTCTTATTTAACTATAAATGTGATCTTTAAATAAAAGTGACCCCAGGATGGCCCTAAAATATCATCTGATCAATCAGCTGCAGCACCACACAAAGTTACCCTTTATGATGTTAAAATGTTCAATAAATTTGAAAAACATTTATACACTCTGACTAATGAATGCTTTGACCCTAACATAACTTCTGTCCTCCCCACGAGTGTGCAAACTCTCTCATGATGACTTATGAATGTGGAAATATGAAGTACCTGACTCATTCCATAGAAAATCAGTGAGTTACCCCCACCTGACCCCCTGAGAATCACCTGATTTTTAATGTAGGAACTTCTAGTAACTTTAGCATATCTAATGACACCATGCAAACTATAAAAATACTGGTGGCTGGCAGTGCTACCCATCAGCCTCCTAGAAGATTTGAGAATCCTATTTGATCTTGTTTTCGAGTGACCGTGTTCACAAAGTTGTATGTCCGTGACCCCAGCCCGCCCACCAGGGTGACAACAATACCCCCAGCCTTTTAGAGTGAGGGGTAAAAACTCCCCGAACTACAGGCTTTGGACATACACAGGAGTGGGTTAAAAGGATTTTAGCCAGTTGTCAAAATGTAAGAAAATATGGGACCTTTCATATGTTGTAACTTGTTTCGATAAAGTTGACCCCAAAATGCACTTTTTAAAGTTTTTCTCCAGTGTACTATTAGACATCAAATCAAGCATCCAGGGTACCAATGCTTGTTTCTGTTACTTTTTACTCTACATCACAGACAGGCTGAAACTGACATCCCATTATATTATAAGCTTTAGATTTTGACCCCGGTAGTGTTATATTGATTGGGTTGCAGTTCTGAAAGGATCTTAAAGGTCGTTTTAACTCATGTGGATATCTCCTTTACTGAGGAAGCTAAAAGGACTCAAAATAGACGACAAATGGCGGCAAATTGCAACCCATAACAATGTACTTTCTAAGGGCATGTAACTGACAGTTTTCACAGTATGAGGATAAAGTTCACCTGACCTTATTAGATATGCTTAAGTTATTGTATAAATACAAACAAACAAACATCAAACCAGCCAATTCTGGGGAGCCAGGTCTTTTCCTGAACTGACTGATTTTACATGGAACGACCATCCTGTGAATTCACCGTCTAGTTCAAAAGATGGCAGAGAGTAAAGAAACAGAAAGAGCAGAAAAAAAGGGGCTCGGGGACATTTAAGTCCAGACATCACACAAATGGACAACCATTTAAAACTTATGAATCTTGATGTAACTGTACAGGAAGCTGAAGAAATAAACATCTGAGGGTAGAGCCACAGCTCTAAAAACAAAAAGTTGAGTAAAAGTCAACTCAGCAAGTATCTAAAGAGGATGAAATTCTTATAAAGATGAACTGAGCTAATGGAAACATCCCATTAATCACATGTAGCCCTTTATTACTATTATTATATTTATTTATCCTTATAAACTCATAGCATTATGTCCAATTACTTCAAATGCCTGAAGATACAGCGTGACATCCATCATTAAAAATATCCCCTGACAGATTAGATTAGACTATACAAAAGGCGTGGCTTACTAATGGTGGCAATCAAAAACTAGAAACAGAGCAGAGAAGAAAACTAAGAGCAAAACAGCAGCAGGAGAAGGAAACGAGAAAAAACTAAGAGTAGTCTCTTGAACTGAGCCCCGCTGATTATGTGTTTGGTCTGGCTGGATTAATGATGTCACCAGTAACATCTATACTGCCATTTAAAACGGACTCTTTAAACGTATTTGTTGGTTGTAGATAAGTCATGCCTGCATTTTGCTTAGGCGGGAAATCTGGGTGGAAACTTACGACACAAAAGGAAACCTTTCTTACCCCTACGCCGTAACTTTAATATTAAGTCATCTGCCTGACAGGTAGTTACATTTCCCAGGAGGTCGGGTTACGTCAGGTTACGTAGAAGATTACAGCGTGGAGTTAAGAGGGGTTTCCGGTTACGTCATATGTTACGGTGAAGCATAATTTTTTAACTTTCACACAGCAAAAATGAATAAGAGCAATCATGACACTTAATCTACTTTCGTTTTTTTATTGCATTATAACTGCTGGATTTACTGTTAATACAATCTACTGATTGATTGTTATGTTAATGCAATTAATGCCAATACAAGTGAACCAGCAGGGCGGTGCCTTGATGTGCAGGCACATTTTTAATCCCAATCTCAAAAAAATATATATATTTTTAGCTCAAGAGTTAATTTTTTTCCTGGTTAAATAACGGTTAATAATAATAATTTACTATCATCCTTATTAACCTGTTGACTCTTGACTGATTGGCTTGCGTCACCTGCATGCATAAGAAGCCAGAGAAGGGAAGGCATGGGGTTCGACTCGCACTATTAATTATTAGTTTGGTTTGGATTTATAAGCAGTCTTGTTTTTAATGTTAGTTTTATTATTTTTGTTTATTAAATGAGGAGAAATGCTGAATCTAACTATTGTGGGGTTGGTTTGCATTGTTACTCTTTCGTTTGCTTTTGCCGGGGCTCCAGTCTCACTTATTTGTGTTTGTTTGCATCTTTAAAATGCTTAAAATGCAGCAGTGTAGTGCGTCACATATTTTAGGTTCCTCTGAGCCACGTATTTAAGGACTGAAACAACGTGTAAGCTACCGAAAGGCTCTAGAGCCAAAGCTTCAGTAGGATTTTTCTCTTTTACTCACTACACTTACTTTGTTTATATTACGCTAAATATTAAACGTGCAAAACCTGAACAAAAGTCTGCTGTAGAGCCAGGTATTCAACAATCTAATTCCATCTTTGGTGTTCATAATTAGCTTTTATTTGTGAGTTGCTTATAAAACAGCTTTCAAGTGAGGTCACCATTAAGCACTGCATGTCCAGTAGATGGTAGCCAAACCAGAGCGAAGTAACGTTAATCAGCTAGCAGCCTTTCACATGTGGTGACATTTGAAAAACAGCAACAGTCATTTAAAAAAAATCACTCAAACTTTTCATCCACTGGGGAAAAAAATAAATTCTTCATCACTTAACAGGAAGCAGGCATATTTTTACTTAACAAAATTATAGGTCATACTATATCATATACTTTTATTAGCTGACTACCTCTAGTTGATTCTGGCTACCAACATGCCATGCCACATTTGGACGCTCTTATGCAGAAAGTTGTGATGATAAAAATGTCAATTAAAGCAAACTTAAAAAACAAAAAAAACAAACACTGAAAGTCTTAACAGGTCTTACACTATCAAAAGGACCATGCCCACACCACAAAGCTGAGCTGAACTCAACTGGACATACCCAGGTCCATTTTAACATCTGAATAGTCCTATAAAGTTGGATTGGAAAACTACAGACAAATGGAAAGTGCACAATGAGCTGTGGGGAAGCAAAGTGGTGCATTTGCATCAAGTTCAAAGACTTTTAGTTTAAAATGAGGATATTCCACGACTGTGTGTCAGTCTACTTCTAGCTCAGCTCAGCGACAGTGTGAATAAGGTCAGCAAGGCCTCGTCACGCCATGATGACATCACAGGGGCAGGTAATGCCCTTGTCAAAACAGCTGTCTGATACTTATTAACAGTACATCACAGAGTGTATAAACAAAGTATGTTACTTTACCGATACACACTTAAAACAGTAGGGTTAAGTGCCTTCTAGACTTAAGGAGATAAATGTTAAAATTCTTTAGTGTTAACATTAACTACTTTTTAAAAGCAACTACAAACTATATGTGGTTTATATTTTCTATATTAGATTAACAAAATCATTTTATCATTTTTGACCAAAAAGGAAGAAACTAGCAGCCAAAAACATCCACTTACTTGTCTTGGAAGTATTTTTTCTGACAAGTGAGGACAGACAAGAGGTATACTGAAGACGATCAAAAAGCAAAACTTTGTCTTCACCAAAAAAACATAAAATCATCAAAAAAGTGAAAGTGCGGTGAAAGAAACGTGAACTGTTCCTTTAAAAGTTCTTATTGCTCACAGTCTTGTACAAAGAGGAACAAAAAAACGGGGGGAAAAAGCCACGTGGCAATCCTAAAAACAACAACAACAAAAAACCTGAAGATGGGACTCCCAGTATGTGTTTGTGTGTGTGTTTGTGTGGACCAGGCTGTCCCAGCTGAAAAACTGACAAACTGTAGAAGCTGGAGAAAAAAAGTGAAGAAAGCTAGGGAGGGGTGGCGGGATGGATGGAGTAAGGGAGTGGTAGTAGTAGAAAGAGGAGGAGGGGGTAGAAAAGTGCTGCTGCTGTTGTTGGAGAAGAGTTCAGGTGGTTTTGTCCTCTACCTTGTACCCTGCGGTGGCTTTCTGGGATGCAGAGTGGCGCTGGCTGCCGTCTTTTCCCGTTGTTGATGTCCTGTCTTTGGCCTTGGACTTGTGGCTCTGTCTCCCCATGCCCTCCTGGCTCTCCACATCAGATGCGTTGCCGGAAGAACTGTCCTATAGATTAAAAGAATTAAACAGGTGGAGGATCAGTGAAGGACAAATGATATAGCACTGCTGTGCGAGAGAGCATATCCATGACGAGGTAACTGTAATGGAGGTTAGTGACTTTGACATGAGACCTAGGATCAGTCTCACAGTTGGGCATTTCAGACTTCAGTGTGTTACCAAACTGTAATGTGGATCCATTGCTTCACTTTCCTTGCACTGTTTGTGTTAAAAAGCTTAGAAAGGTTTAACTTCTCCCTTCCCAGCCAATCAAATCACTCTGTGAAAATACCCAACAGAGCGATGTAAAATGAAGAGTGAGTAATCACATACAAACATGAGTAAGAGGCAACTAGATTGGCTCATTTATGACTAATGAAAGCTTGGATAGTTTGCCTTGTGATTAATCAAAATATTCATGGACAGCAGTGACACCTACAATAGAAGTCACTCTTTGTTTTAGTTAACTTTTTGGTTAAAGTAGCATCCAGTTACTCTACACTTCTGATTTTCTTTTTGAGAATATCTGGTTAAATAGAAAATCTATACAATAAACTAAACCTCTTTCATCGGATTAATATTACTCCCATAACAAATTCATATAGCTGTGCACAAAATACTGTCTTACAGATGAGTTCTTGATCTTCTTGTCATCCTTGCCATCCTCAGCGTCGTCAGAGTCAGGCTCTGAGTCCGGCGCAGGAAGCTCTGGATCCAGTGGAGGTTCGAACAGAGCTGTGTTCAGCGGCAAGTACCGCAGCTCATTGGGAGAGTATCTGTCATACATCAAAATAACAGAGGATCAGGGCGAAACCTTTGATACATTGCACCGAACAGTAATTAGAAGTGAAAGTACTTATTTTAGTGGGTGCCGTACTTTTTGTAATAGTCTTGGAACTGTCCTGGTATAAGAGCCACAGGGTAGGGCCCTGTCCTGGTTAGCTCTGGAGCCAGCACCTTAAACCTGCCCTGGGGCACCTGGATGATCTGGGACAACAAAACACAACACATATAAGAAATTTAAAAAAAAACAAAAAACCTCAACAACAAAAAAGACAGTTTGTTGTGGCATTCATAAGCCTCTAATCAGCTATAACCACATATACAATTATGTCATTCAATTTTACTTTTTTGACACCTGTGCACCATCTAACAAATTTTGATCTAACCAATGTGAATATATCAGTGTATCACGAGTCATTTTAAACTACATAGTGCCATACACGGATTTTCTCTTTATAGAGAAACATCACAGAGAAAGCAGTAATGATGTTTTAAGAGAAAAACCTGCACCGCTAGGGCATAAAACTGGAGAATTTCCAGTTGAAGTAAGTGAAACAATAGCCTCCAAAGAGGAAGCCAAAAAAAGCTTTGCAAGCTGTTTTTGGTTTTGGGAGACAGACATCCGCTCTGCTTTCTTTTTTTGATAAACGCCTGAAATTTAAATTAAGTCATCTATTGGGCTATTACTAAAACCCTGAAAAAAACAACAACTTTAGTTTGGATTTACATGTGTCTGGAGGTCAAAGTAAGCTCTCCTCTCTTCCATGCGCTCCCTGTTGAAGTTACTGTTGAACTCGGCAGCTTTTTTTGCTGCCTTCTTTATGTACTCGGGGACTTTGCTGGCCTCCACCTTCTGAGGGTTCTGCTGTTGCATTTGCTATGAAAGAATAAAGAATGTTAGAAATATATTTGGAGATGTATGCAGAAGATTTTCATTACACTTTAGATGAAAATAATGTGGCCCTACTTCTACAGGATCTTTTTTTGTTGCTTGTGAACTTACGGAGTACTCTTTTGCTATTCTCTGTCGCTCCCTCTCCTGCAGTATGACAGAATACTCCGAATGTTTAGTGGGATATTCCTTTATCATCAGATCGATCACCTCATCACTCCTCAGAGCTGTCAAACCTGAAGAACAGGAAAGAAAAGGAAAGATGTTACCTTCTAATATCACAACTGGAACAGCGGTCGAGTCTGACTTTGAAGGACTGGTTTCTACCCAGAGTGCATTGTGTCTCAGTGATGACATTCTGTTCACGAAGGTAGAGCTTCTCTTTGTGGGACAAGTCTCTCCTCTCCATATCTAAAAAGAAACAGAAAAGCACAAACCAACACCACCAGTTAATATCTTAGAGTAACTCTTTACAACAAAAAACAAGTAAACACAAAAAAATCTCACTTCTTACCAGGATACTTCCTCTTGAACGATGTGACTCCCAGATACTCGCTGACCTGCTCCTGCAGCATATAGTACTCTCCTGTATCGTCTGGTGGCCATTTGTATTCCGTCAGGTTTTCTGCTGGGAAATACGTCGGACTGGAAAGGAAGGTTGGAGGGACAACAGAGTTTGATGATTGGACAAGATTTTGTAAGATTAATCTTTGCTGATATAGACAAAAAATCGCCATTGGAAGAACTAAATAGACATCAATACTGACAGTTACAGCTTTTAGGGTTTATCATATACAAGTATATTTTGGGGATATGTATTAAAATAAAAAGAATGTGACATATGGTAACAACAAATTTTCTGTCCTACTTGGTTGTCAAGAATGCTTGAAAATTATGCCAGTGGATGTTTCTTGCCGAATGCCAAACCAGCTTACCCAAGATCTTGACTTGAGGTATCACAGCTTCGAGAGCTGTCCCCTGAACCCATTCTCCTTCTCTTGGGAGGTTGGCTGCCATCATTGGACACTTCTTCTATGACATCCTCCTTCAGAGGAAAAGAAAAATCAGAATTAATTTTTAACATTACATAATGTGATGTTTGAAAACTCCAGAGCATGAAGTATATCCACAAAGCTTTTAGGAGCTTTCTGATTTTGTATTGGACACTTTTATGACACAGAAATGAATAGAGCCCAAATTCATTTTTGCTTGGTAAACCTGAACCCTAGGACTCATAATTGCAGGATTCATCTTCCTGTTGCTACAACAAATTTTAACATGTGATTCTCCAAGTGGGGGGCCCATCTGACCCACTTGGTTCCTGAAAGAGTTTCCATTCTATCATCGCTTAAGACCAATTTGCCTTGAGAGACCCCACTAGAGGCTCCCAGGATCACTTGGTTGACACCATGTTAATGTGACAATTCATGGAGGGACTACGACACCTCCTAGATGAGTTGTTTCATATTCTAAGATAAGACCCAGGATGTGCTGGAAAGATTACTTCTCTCAGCTGGCCTGGTAACAGCTTAGTATCCCACCAAGAAAAGATAGAAGAGGGGGCCAGGGAGAGAGAGGTCTGGGCATCTCTGCTCAGCCTGCTGTATCCACAAATCAGGCCCACTTAATGGCTGAGCAGTGCATACTTTTACTATAAATGAATCACAGAGTGTATTTAAACTGAGTGTGATTTTCTGTATATGCTCCACAGGCATGAGATAAAAATCACACACAGTGCACACTACTGCTATTTTAGACATGATAGTATTTCCCGGCCTGATGAAAACTTTTTAAACAACTGCAAAAGTTAACATTCAGAGATTTAGCCAGTTTAATACAGAGGGTTCATTTTGAAACACACTAAAAAATGATTTCAGATAAGGATATTTTCCCTCTTACATCAACACGAAGCTTTATTCAATATTATTGACGGTTAGATTATAGAGTTAGATTATAATTACTTTTTATGCTAAATACAGACCAAAACATGTATGAGTTTACACGCCAGAACTGGCTGACAGAAAGAGCACAAATTGTCAAATCACTTATAATATTACGACATTAAACGTCGCGTTTTTACTTAGATCATTCAAAACGTACACAGACCGGATCACTGCAGATACATAAAACGAGGAAATTCAAACCGAACGAGCTAACTAACCAATTACTACACAGCTGAAAACAAAGGAGGGACGCTAATGTGGCTACTGATCATCAATCATGGACTAAAGTGTCCCATAAATGGCCAGTTAGCAATTAGCTCAGGCTATAGCCGTACAGAGCCGAGGGAACTGAGCAAACAGTGACTCGTGTTTTTATTATTAGTATTATTAATATTGTTATGGCGTACAAATGTCACCTTTATGGATTGTGCTCCGGGGGTAGCGGGGTTGCTATCGCAGGGCGGCCTGACGGGGAGCACAGCAGCCATATTTTTTGCTAAATGATTTCTGCAGCTAGGCTAGCATACTAGCTCGTTACTCCTTCGTTGGTGAAGTTTCGCGGCTGTTGGCGAGCGTTGAAACATGGCCGACACCTGCTGGACTGGACGCGTGACTTCAGGACAGGACTGGGACTGTGTGGTATAATCTCGATTTATCTTAATTATTATAGACAGTTAAAGTGAATTCATGGTCGTTACAGTCTGCATAAATTAAAACTACGTTTGATGAGAAGTTTGAACAAGTTTGAGTTATATTAACCCTTACATGCTGTTCACGTGTCATGCTTTGACAACGTGGTTTAGGCCAGTTTTGACATAGGCCAAGAATTCCCTCATAAAAAGTACCTACAACGAATTTTGATCCACACAGTAGCGGGGTTTGATATGGGCGACATGGGCGGTTGCCCAGGGCAACATCGTGATGGGGGCGTGATAATACATACTTATAATTTTCACCGATGTTTTTTCGAAATTCTATGCGCGAAAAGTGGACAAACATTTCTTATCTATGATTTAATTCGTTATTATTAAATCCAAGGGCGTAGATTTGGCATGAACGGAAATATTCAGCGATTATTGAATTGTCCCCACCAATAATTTGATCTATTCCAGTAAAGAAAATCAAACCCGATAGAAAGAAAAAAAAACGATCTGTCAACGTCTCATTCACCCAGCGGTGCAGAAAGACTTAAATTACGTCCTCTACTGGAGTCCTACCTCATGTGACAAATATGGCCAATGTGATTGGCTGTGCCTTTCAGGGAACTCTGTTTAGTTTTAGCAGCGGCAAGCCTGCGCTGCCAGGAGGAGAGGATGATGGCAGCAAAAAGGAAGAATCCAAATGAACTCATAAAATGTGTCCGTCATAATAACGTTACAGGCTATGCTAGGCTTTGGCCCACATCAGTCTAAAATTGTATGTAACAACGAATAACGTGTTTTGGAAACTAACTGCACGACAGGCAGCACTATTAGTTTTCTCAGTCTCCCAGAGTAGCATTTCTAATTTTGATTGAAACTGTAAGAGAAAACGGCAGCTTTGAGCAAGCCAGGATATTAGTTTACAGAGGCTGGTAAAATTATATGTCTAACATTAAAATGTTGGTGACACAATAATTTCATCCTTATGGTACTGACATATTCATAGGGTTAATTTTTGAGACAAAATGTCATGAGGTAGTCATGATTTTGCAAATATTCCACCTTTTAGTGCAGTTTCCACAAATTGTTTTAAAAATGCACTCACCCTACAACCATTACTGATGAGTCAAGATCTGCACAAATTGACAGAAACACTGAAGCAGCTCCACATTTTATTCTTATTGTCATGTATGTCCTATTTGTCAGGTGACAGAAGAACCAACACAAAGCTCAGCGAGCAATGGTGATACAAGATCACAAGTGAAATTGGATGATGACTTGTTGGTTCATTACTGTATTTGAAGCACATGTGTGACTGCATGTATTTGGAATGTCTCACTGTTATCTATCAGGTGACAGAGGCAGCTCTGCCATGTTGTAGCTCGGACAGAGGTGAAGAGGCGAGGTCACAGGTGACTGACTGATGATTTGGTGCTATATATTAAATAGTATTTATTATCATGACAATTGTTAGGCTGCTGATGTAAACTGATTCATTAGTGTATATTTGACAAAGAATCTGAATTGACATGTCTCACTTTTTATATGGCACGAATCAATGTGGTATTTTATCAGGTGGCAATATGTCCTAGTGCAGTCAGAGGGGAAGAGCCAGGGCCAAAGGTGAGACACATCAAGCACATAGTAATAATTTTAATCTGAGGATAAAACGCAGGTACTGAGGCTGAAAGAAGCTTCAGTGCTCTCAGAAGACTAAAAAGATGGCTAAGGTTAACAATGACTCAAATGAGATTAAACAATGCTGCTGTATGCCATGTCCACCAGGAGAGACTGGACAGTATAGATGTAAAACAAATATGCCAGCAGTTTATCTCAGTTAACGAGAGGAGCAGGCATGTGTTTGGCTCCTTCACATAGTGGACATTGAGTTGTTGTGTGGGACACCAGTAGTATTAATGTCTGTTGCTGTAACAGTAGTTCATGTTTAGAATAGAAAATCTCAGCTCACTGATTTGATCGGGGCAATAGTGCCTAAAATGTTGCATAATTTTGCTGAGAGATCTTTTACTTTGTGGTAATCTTAGATGAGTAGTTTTATGGACAAAAACCACCAGGTCATTCAGTGTTCCCTTAGTGCCAAAATATAACAGATGTTGGTGTACTATAACTGAAGTAATAATGTTAAGTCCTTAAAGTCATATTCTTTTATTGTCATGACTGTATTTGAAGATATTTTTATTTTTGTATGATACCTGATTTACATGGATTATGGCTGAAGTAAACTAAAGCCTAAAATTCTTAGTCAGTCATTTGTTTAATAATTCAACTATGAATTGTGATTTTAAATGGTTTAAAAGCATGTAGAATAGCATATGTAGGCAAGTATATTTCTCCTCTTTTTATTAAGAAGCAAAAACAAAAAGGAAAAAAAAAGAAACAGGGCAGAGTTCGGTGGTTGAATCATCCAATGCCAAAACCAAATCTACGCCCTTGGATACAACTTTTGCTTTTTCAATAGGAAGACGGCCACGTGACACATCAAACTTAGTGGTAATGTCACAAGAAAAACAATGGTGTGCTTGGTTTCAACGTAACTTTATTCTTTCATGAGTTATTTACAAGTTTCTGACCACTTATAAAATGTGTTCAATGTGCTGCCCATTGTGTTGGATTGTCAGTCCAACCCTCTTCTCCCACTCTTCACACACTGATAGCAACACCGCAGGAGAAATGCCAGCACAGGCATCCAGTATCCGTAGTTTCAGGTGCTGCACATCTCGTATCTTCACACCATAGAGAATTGCCTTCAGATGATCCCAAAGATAAAAGTCTAAGGGGGTCAGATCGGGAGACCTTGGGGGCCATTCAACTGGCCGACAACGACCAATCCACTTTCCAGGAAACTGTTCCTCTAGGAATGCTCCGACCTGGCACCCATAATGGGGTGGTGCACCATCTTGCTGGAAAAACTCAGGGAACGTGCCAGCTTCAGTGCATAAAGAGGGAAACAAATCATCATGTAACAATTTCAAATATCCAGTGGCCTTGAGGTTTCCATTGAGGAATTAGTTGTACCAACTAATGCCACTCTCCAGTGACATGCGGTGAGTGCTACGCTGTGGGCTTTTGCTGAATGAAGCTAGACAGCCACTGATGCTTCTTCATTAGTGACAGTTTTCTTGCGTCCACATTTTGGCAAATCCAACACTGAACCAGTTTCATGAAACTTTGCAAGCAGTTTGCTAACTGTAGCATGGGAGATTGGTGGTCTCGTAGGGTGTCTTGCATTGAAATCTGCTGCAATGACCCGGTTACTGCGTTCACCAGATATCAACACAATTTCAATCCGCTCCTCACGTGTTAACCTCTTCGACATGTCAATGGCTGTGAACAAAAAGAAACTTGTGAATAACTCATGAAAGAATAAAGTTACGTTGAAACCAAGCACACCATTGTTTTTCTTGTGACATTACCACTAAGTTTGATGTGTCACATGGCCCTCTTCCTATTGAAAAAACGAAAGTTGTATCCAAGATGGCCGACTTCTAAATGGCCACCATGGTCACCACCCATCTTGATGAGTTTGCCCCCTCACATATACTAATGTGCCACAAACAGGACTTTAATATCACCAACCATTCCCATGTTATTACGGTGTATATAAATGGCCCACCCTGTACATATTATTTTTATGTCACTCTTTTCACTTACTTTTAAAAAAATCTTTAACATAATTTTTTATTATGTTATTTTATTATTGTTGAAAGTTAAAAAATTCTCTACATCAAATTATAAGAGCTCCAACATGGGCATGTTACTTTTACTTTGGAATGCCTGTCTGATATAAGAAGAGTTTCTTTTTTGGGGTTTATAAAAACTCATTTTTGGGTTTATAAAAACTCAAAACATTTACTGCCATGCAATATCATGTCTTGTTTTACCAAAGATGTGATAACATAACAGCAATATAAATGTATTATTATATAAACATGTATAAAATTACTAGTGTTAAACATTGTCTTGACTTCTGTGTCGTCCCCCCCCCCGCCCACGAGTACTATTTTTATTTAGAGCAGAAACTACTCTGTGCATTCAGAACAGTGAGGGGAATCCTGAATCTGTCTGACATTGAAGCTGTAACTAATGGCTGTGAGAGGTTTTGGAAGTTTTTCCATGTTAAGATTGCTCACATTAGATCAATTTTTTTCCCTTTCCTGATACTTCGTTAAGCAGTCCAATGGTCAGGAACACTCTTGAGGGACTTCATATGGTTTCTGTTGCTAGACTAGGTGAAATTGTAAATCATATGAAACCCTCAGTTAGTTTTGTGGTCTAATTTCTGCTTTTTTCTGCTTAACCATTTTGCTCTTAGTCTCAAGTAGAGCTTCCACAGATTGATTTATTTAATTATTTTTGTATTGTTGCATTGTTAACTTACGTTGTGTACTATGCTTGCAAGTGCAAAGCACTTTCAGATAATACACTTGCATTTATATAATGCTTTTCTAGTCTTATTGATGATTCAAAACACTTTCAACTACACATTTATGCAGGACTTTATTCTATAAACTTCAACTACCTTACATCCGTGATCTGTTTAGAATCACCAGTGCACGAACATGCATGTCTTCAGAGTAAGGGAAGAAGCTGGAGTACCCAAAGAAAAATATGTGAACTCCACACAGCTAAGCCCAAACCAGGATTTAAGCCAGCTGTGAGGCAACAGTGCCTTCACTTGGGAGTGAAGAGATTTGGGACAGGAGTGATGGGAACACATATAGTTTTACCTTTACCACTGTCCCATTAATAATGCACACAGGTATGACATTTTCCTTGATTTGACCTACACTGGTGGATTTAAAGTTAATTTCAGTCGGGACAGGTCAAATTTGATTGGAGCAGTCTCAGTGTACAGAAATATGTAGCACATAAATTTAAAAAAATATTTATTTTTTATGTTTTAGGGATCACCTTAGGAAAAGTCATCAAATTTCAAAATAAAATAATTAATATTTATTCGTTTAGTCACATGTAAAAATTGACCCAAACAGCAGTCTGTGTCAAAAGTCTCAAGCAGACACAGCGCCACCCTGCGGCTGCCTGAAGACTTTACAGTGATCCAACGGTTCTTCGGTTAGGAGCACAGACGGCTTTTATTTTGAAACAAACCGCGTACGGGAAGTCGGAGGGGAAAATCAGCTGGACTCCGCGGAAATCACCAACAGGAGTATTTTCCTTTTATTTAGCTAGCTAACCATCTGTCAACTCCCATTTCGCCCTCCCTTCTTTATTGCTGTCAAACCGCCACACTGGCGATGTCGGAGTCGTACGGTAAGATAGCACTTTTGACCTGTGGCCACCGTTATCATCCTCCCGTAGCCTCAGAGATGGGATGGGGCAGGTGTGCCCAGAGAGCTTTTTCTCATCGTAAACAGATAGCTGACAGGCTAACCGAGCCGCCGCTGAAGGCTGCTGGCCTTAAAAGTTGCCTCGTCAGCGTAAGGAAACCCACAAAGGCTGTACAGCAGAGTTTAGTGTCGCCGTGTGCAAAAAACGTACCCACGGTACAAGGTTACAAAGCTCCCCGGAGGGTATCGTAAAAGACAAGGGAAGCTGACACCTGGCTGGGGCTTGGTGCAGCTGTAATATCTGACTGAGCTGCAACATTACAGTCATATATGAGGCATTGTTTTCTTAGCCTGACCATTTTACACCAAAATAATGATTATTTTGCTAGTTTAGTGGTTTAATAGTGGATAAATTCCTCCGCTGCACAGAACAGCTGACTGTAGTTTTTGTTTGCCTACATCAAAGCCTCCACAATATTTTTTTTGTGAGGGGGGTACTTAATTTTTTGTTTGTTTTTCATTAGGATGATACCTATATCAATATTTGAAAGCTATAAAGTCAAGCAAGTAAAGCCATGCGCTGTTTGTTGTTAAACATCAGTTTATTATGGCCAAAGCATCACAGTATTGTGCAGCATATGCTTGAGCCTGACTGATAAATTGATTTTGGGAGCCTATGTGCACAGTTTGTCACAGTTATATATATGTGTTCTAAATATATATATTTAGAACACCTGCCAAGAAAATTAAAGACAAAAATCAAATTTCTAGTTTACTACTCTTAAAATCATTCTGTAATCCACAATTTAGTCTGTGCTGGACTGTGGTGATGTGGTGATATGATTTGTCTGCACCTTGATTTTTGCATTGTATTTTATCACAGGTGATTCTTTTCTGTCTCGTATGAAAGAATGTACTTGTCCTCTTTAGCTATAATAATACTACAGGAGTATATGCTGGTAAATGTGGGTGTTTGCAAGGCTACTGCAGAGATTACTGGATTTACTGGACTTCATAACAGTGACGGTAACTCTCACCACTCAAGTGGGGGAAACTAAATTTAAATGAGCTACAAAATATATGAAGCTACAGTTTCTGATTTCTCTAGAATATTTTGAAAGGTCATGTTTACGGAACTTGAGCCACACCCTCATTTGTTTATATTTTGCAAGGAAAATAAGAAATAGGTGCAGCACTTTCTTTGAAACATGCAAAAATATATGGAAATACAGAATATAAGGCAAAAACAGAGTTTGTAATGAGTGTGAAAGTCAGGATTTGGTATTCTTCAGCACAGCCTGAACTCTGTTAGACAGGTTTTTGTAATTTCTTTAAGTAGTCTTCAGGAATAGTTCACTGGACTTCTCAAAGGACATTCAAAGCTCTTCATTGGATTTTGACTGCCTTTATTTCTGATTTCTATCAGGATGATCCCAAACTGCCACTGAGTTTCACTCCAGTTCTTGTGTAATTTGGCATACCTCAACCTTTTCTCCCTGTTTCCTTTCCTTAAGATCAACTGAAGGATGAGTTTTATCTCTCAGGTCAAGTTATTACAGTTCACTAAAACTAAACTTAAAAAAATAAAACTGTTTTTTAAAGATGGACTAACTGACATGACATTGACTAATTAAACTAAACTTATTTAGTTTGTTGTCACATGTAGCTTCATTAGGCCTTGTTACATTTGGTTATTAAGGCTTGGAATGACTGTGAGCTAACTGCCTGTGTTTGTATTATAATATCTGTTCTGAACCCCTGAAAAGCACAAACCAGATTACAATAAATAAGAAAGCTAGCACTGAAGCTAAACACTAAAATGAAACGAGCAAACTCACTGTGGAAATGAAACTAAATTGACAAGAAAAACGAGCTGGATATACCAAACTAAGACTACAGTAACTGAGCTTTTCCCACATTTTTCTTGTAATTTCCTGTCGTTTTAGCTACCGTCTATAGCAACTAGTTTCATATAGTCTGATAATAATAGCCCAACTGATGTAATGTGTGTCCTTGCTTTTCCCTTTGCAGATTTCCTCTTTAAATTCCTGGTGATTGGGAATGCTGGAACGGGAAAATCCTGTCTTCTGCACCAGTTCATAGAGAAGAGGTGTAAGTCTGAAAGATCCATTACACTCCTGACTGTTTACTGCAAACTACAGCACTACATCAGGGAATTTCTTCAGGCAAATGAGACAGTAAATATGCCAGTAATTTCCACATGTTAAAGATTCCTAGGATGGAAATCAAGATTTCAACATTTTAAGTCAATATTTCATGAGTGAAATAAGCAGTCAAATTAATGGATATGACTGCATTCTTAATCCATGGATTTAACTGTGTGCATTTATACTTGCATTCTGAGTTTTATAGGCAAAACTAAGAAATCTGTCCTGTTAACTTTGGGTTAAAGCTAAGCTTCTCAGAGCTGACACGCTGGAAAGGGGGTTGTGTTAGATAAGAAAAGCATTTACATTTCTAATATTGTTGAGGATGATCCACTGTAATGACAAAACTATTTGCTCGTCCACCTTCACACCCATATAAACTTGAGTCTCATCCCATTCTTAATCCATTGCGTTTAATATGTCAGCCCACCCTTTGCAGCTATAACAGCTCCAGATCTCTTCCACAAGATCTAGGTGTGTGTTCATGGGAATTTCTGATCATTCTTCCAGAAGTGCATTTGTGAAGTCAGACACTTATGTGGTTTGAGGAGGCCTGGCTTGCAGTCTCTGCTCTAATTCATCCTAAAGGTGCTCTGTTGGGTTGAGGTCAGGACTCTACAGGCCAGTCAAATGCTTCCATGCCAAACTTACTCATTTATGGACCTTACTTTGTAAGTAAACATGTGCAGTCATGTTGGAGCAGGAAGGGGCTATCCCCAAACTGTTTCCACAAAATAGGGATCATGAAATGGTCCAAAGTGTCTTGATATGCTGAAGCATTAAGAGTTTGCAGTCAGACAAGTGCTGTTCTCTTGGCAACCACCAAACTCATACTTGTCCACTGCTCTAGTGTCCAGTGGCAGTGTGCTCTTTACACCACTGCAACCGACGCTTTAAGTTGTGTTTGGTGATGTATCGCTTGGATGCAGCTGTGTGGCCATGAAGCTATCTATGCACTGTCCTTGAGCTGATCTAAAGGCCACATGTAGTTTGGAGGTCTGCAGTGATTGACAAAATTGACTTTTTTATTTCTAGACACTGTGTGTGTGAGTTGCTGTCGTTCTTAAATGCTTCCACTTTGTTATAATACAACTAACAGTTGACTGTGTAAAATTTAGTAGTGAGAAAATTTCAGACTGGACTTGTTGGGCAGGTGGCATCCTATCACAGTACCACACTGGAATTCAGTGAGCTCCTGAGATCAACCCATTTTTACAAATGTGTGTAGAAGCAGTCTGCAGGCATAGGTGCTTGATATTTATACACCAGTGGGATTTGAAATGACTGAAATACCTACATTCAATGATTGTGATGGGGGAGTGAATGCTATCGGCAAATAGTGTATGTGAAATTTGCCAGTCTGAGCCAATCTGATATATTGACATGTGGTCAATTTCCCCTTGTTTTTCTTCAGAATGACTTTCCAGTTCAAACATGTAGAGCTCAAATACTCCAGTGTCAACTTACCATTGTGTAAAGTAGAGCAGTGTTAGTGTGTGAGCAGAGTCAGAGGTGAACCGATTTGCTGGAACTGCACAGCAGCAGGGGAGGAGTGGGTGTCAGTAGAGATTGGAATGAAATTTCATATTCACAGATGCGAAAGGAGGCAAAAGTGTGAGTGACATCAAGCTACATCACATTTTACACCAGGTTGAACCACATTTTAAGGCATGAAGGGATACATTTATGAAAAAACAACTTCTAAATGTGTGATTTTTATGATTGGTTCTGTTTTTTAAGGGTGAAACCAAAACCTACAACCAGACTCCAGGAGAAAAACTTCAAAGAAAATCATTGTCTCATCCACACATGCTGAAATTGGCTTATTTTTCATTGAAGTGCAGAAGCAACAGTTGTTTTCCTTACAGCCACACAGTGATAATCATATCATCCCTATTAATCCCCCTTATTTAATAATATTAATGCATTTGCATGTTTTATGTATTTATTTTTTTCTAGTCAAGGATGAATCTAACCACACAATCGGAGTCGAGTTTGGCTCTAAGATCATCAGCGTGGTCAACAAAATGGTCAAGCTTCAGATTTGGGACACTGCAGGACAAGAGAGGTTCAGGTAGGAAAAAAGCCCAACGTGAATATGCACTTGGCACACAAGTCATCTCTGTTATGCTGCAGACATTCAGCTAGCAGTACTATAGCTTAAAGACCAGAGTAACAGACACAGGAGTTTTGGAAGGTAACGGAGAGCTCAAAAAGCTGTTATTAAACTCTGCTGCCTAATTGATGTCCTGAGTAAAACAGGAATAGTTTTGTTGCTTCTGATTATTTTATTTATTCAATTTTCTGCTATAGCTGCTATAACAATTTAAGGCGAATCTGGTGAAAATATTTTCCAGAATTGCCTTTTTTTTTTTTTTTTGAGGTAGCACACGCCAGGAATTGGTTCTGTTGTTTTGTCCTGGCTAAATGCAGCTGTCTGAACAGAGGGTGCACTGAGCAGCAAACATGACACCCACTCACTAGTGATGCATGCCCCAGACGGTTAGGTCTGTCTGTGCATTGCCACAATCCAGCTCACGTGGACTGTAGAGCTAGCAAGTTAAAGACCAACCTGGTTAAACTGCAGCAGACATTTATGTAGGTCTCTACAAAGTTCAGGAGTTAAATGGTTTTCACACATGCATTGATGTTTTTTCTTTTCTTCAGGGGGAATGTATTGTATACTTCCTGATTGTTCTCAATGTATGTCTATTAATCTGTGTGTGTCTGTGTGTTAGGTCTGTGACCAGGAGCTACTACAGAGGAGCAGCAGGAGCCCTGCTGGTCTATGACATCACCAGGTATCACACAATGTGATGCTAGGCTTTTCACATTTCTCTAATTTGTTCCTCCTCCTCTCCTCTCTCCACCCTCTTGCCTAAGACTAAAAGGAATTGAGGATGCACAAACTGAGAAATATGATAGGCTCTGTGTTTCAAGCCTCTAATTTATTTTTGTTTTCTAATTAGCTTCCACATCTATTCCAAACTGTAACATGTCATTACCTGCCATTCTTTTTATTATTTTTTTGTTGCAGTCGAGAGACGTACAACGCTCTGACCACATGGCTGAGTGACGCGAGGATGCTGGCGAGTCAGAACATCGTCATAATCCTGTGTGGGAACAAGAAGGACCTGGATGCTGACAGGGAGGTCACCTTTCTGGAGGCTTCCCGCTTCGCTCAGGAGAACGGTAAGACCAGCAGCTGATTATTGGGAACGATTCCTGTTGTTGTTGTTAGATGTGTAGACCATCAACTTCAAAGAATTACTGAATTGTTATTTATTATAATGTGTTCATTGTAAACTGATGTAACAGAACTGATGTTCCTGGAAACCAGCGCTCTAACAGGGGAGAACGTCGAAGAGGCCTTTGTCCAGTGTGCTCGGAAAATCCTCAACAAGATAGAGTCAGGTATGAGCTGTAGTCAACACCCTTACCTGTGTGTGCCCCAGCGCTTATTCTGTCAAACCACATGATTCTGTATATCTCTTAACACCACTACCTCAGTCAGAAACAAAATATTTTTATATCATTCAGAAGCCCAGACAGCTAACCCATCAACTAGCTGGCCTACAGCATTGTTCCAGGAAGAATCGAACTTTAACAAAAGCCTTTTGCAAAGGGACAAACTCGTTGTACTTATATAGATGATTAAAGCCTTTTCTTAACTGTCAGTAAACTAAGCACAATAGGTGTAAGTTGGTTATCTCGCTGACTGTTCACTCATGTGATCTCTTGTGTTTCAGGGGAGCTGGATCCAGAAAGGATGGGCTCAGGTATCCAATACGGCGACGCTGCTTTACGACAGCTTCGCTCTCCTCGTCGTGCTCAGCCACAGGGCACCCAAGAATGCGGCTGCTAGTGGACGTGTCCTGTAACACATACAGATGAGGTGAGGGGGTCCTGAGTCTGTACTGTCTACACAGCATTAAAATGAAAAGGTGTCTGAGGGGCTTTCAAATAAGGAGAACCTGTGTTTAGAAGCTGAAATTATGCCTTCTGCTCCCCGCAGTGTCTCTCAGATGTGCAGACTCAGTAATTCTATATTTAGTCAGTGCCCATTTTTTGCTTCTGCGCACTTGATCCACCCATCATTTGAAAGGAAGCCTTCATTATGATTGTCCAAGACAGTAATCATGAAGGCTGTAATCATTAAATAGTGGCATAAAGTAAAAGGTGGATGTATGTTATTACCTACATATTACACAATAAGATGAACGTAGAAATTCTGGTGTCCATAACTATTTGCACCAGACTTTGGCTGCACTGATGCCTGATCGCTGATAGAAAGTCGTTACACCACAGTTCCAGCTGCAGTCTGACAGTTTTCCCTGTTTACATGTCAGATTATTGCTTTTGCCTAGATATTATTATTATTATTATCATTGTTGTTGTTGTTGTTATTGTTATTGTTATTGTTATTATTATTAGCAGCAGAACACTATGAAGCAGTTTTGTAGGAATCCTACATGAAGTCCAGTAAGCACTCCTCAGGGCGCTAAAAACCAGACCAGCGGCAGATATTTAAAATAGCTTGATTAATTGTGATGATCTCATCTATGACTCTCGAGTAAGTGGAAATGTTTAATGATTCAAGTTTTCTTGTTTTGTTTTGTTTAAAATTCTCATTCCAGCACATGTATTTACATGAAGTGAAATTACAGTTTTTATTTTTTGGTCCCTGTTCAGGCCAATGAGGATAAAACACATCAAGAGCGACAGAAACAAGAGCAAGAAGTATATTTACAGTGCAAATGACAAGTCAGTTTCCAAGTGTCAGAGTTGTGTGCGGTGGATTGTAGCTGAGGATCACCAGAGTTGAAGAGACTCCAGGGAGAAACGATCACTGAGTCTTGTGGTTCTGCTCTGCTGGGTCTTTAAAGTTACTGGAGCCTCTTTTTCTGGAACTGCTGGTGTTTTACAATGAGTCAAAAAATAATATGAGAGAATAACCTTAATTCAATTTAGACGTAATGTGTTTTTTTTTCAGTGGCAGATTCAATTTTTTTTTGTAATAGCTAGTTGGTCAAAGCTCTGTAATTCTTTCTTGCTTCATAATGATGAGAGATGATTAAGATAACCTTTATTAACCTTTATTAGTCCCACAAGAGGGAAATTTGTTAATTACTGGGTGGACAGCCTGATATTGATAAGCTTTTGTGTATTTCTGCAACATCTGTGTGTTTTATATGCAGGTTTGTGAAGACCAGGAGAAAAACAGCCATGTGAGACCTGATAACGTGGGGTTCAGATCGCTACGCTGGTGACTTCTCCCCGACCTTTGACCCCTAACCTTTGCACGGACCCCTCAGAACCTTGTTGCCATGCAGATAGCTCAAAAGACTTCCCTGTCACGCCCCCTCCCAGAACTTAAAGATCTCCAAGGTAACCAGAGATCAGCCAACAGTCTGCTCTTCTATTGGACCAAACTGTCCCTCCAACCAAGACCACCCCCAACACTTCTCTCGTCCACACACCTGCCAACCCAGATTACCACAGTTTAGATTTCCCAGTCGACCCTCCAGCTACTTAAACAGACATACTAAATACAGATTTTTGGAGCAAGCTCCACAGACCTTTAGATTGAGCTAAACTAACTGCCCCCTGGCTCCAGTTTGATACTTAGTGCACTGATGCGTGGTCTTGATTTTCTCAGAAAAAAAAAATTCTCGTCTTGTGGAAATATTCCTTCGACCACATGCTAATTTAAGTCCCTTCCCTTCCACAGGTCTTCTGCTTCTCTTGCTCTAATTATCTGCTAACTCCATGCTTGCATTTGCAAACACACCACTAACAGTATCCTGTGTAGCTGTGCAGTTTGCACTTCTTGTGTGCCACCTCCACTCCCTTTCTTCACCTGATATCACTGTTTGTATTCTTCTTAAAATATCCAGACCATCATTGCAACTGAATAATTATGCATAGGATGTGATGTCATGGGTTTGATGTCACAGGAGGAAAAAAAGATGAGGTTGTGGTGGATGAATGGCTCAAATCTGAGTGTTGAAGTGGATGGGATGAGAATTGGCACCCTCAGATCAGACCCCAGGCTGTAAAAGGGTGAATTACCCGCTCTCAGCTGAGACTGAAGCAGATTAATCTACCTGTCCTCACCTGTGGCCACAAGCTGCGGGTGTTGAACTAAAGAATTAGTGGACGAACAATCCCCAGCTGCAGTGTATGGGGTCTGTTAGAGATAGAGTAAGGATCTCAGTCAGTAGAAACACTGCTCCTCCATGTTGAGGTGTTTGATGCATGTCCTATGGGCTGTTGTCAGACAAGCTGTTGAGATTGCATCTCTCAGCTGGACCATTAAAAACTGTGGATGCTGGGAACAGGGAGGTCTAGGCATCTCTGCTTACACTGCTGCTCTCATGGCCTTCAGCAGGAAATGAGTGGATGAGAAACACTTAATTTGTTTCTTTCAAGCAAAAGCAAACATGGAAATATTTGTACTTCCATGACCTGTTACATTTTCATTGTAAAAATGTGTTTTGAGAAAGGGGAAAAATACCGTATTTTATTAGAATTAGCAGAAACATGGATCTTTTCCTAAAACAGAGTCTTTAACGATGTTATTTCTCTATTAAAAAGCATGACTAATCAGTAACAGTGATGGTCCCAGGGCAACACCTTAATATTGATATGATATTGCAGGAAATACACACACACTTTTACATCCCCCTTTTTCTCTCCTCCTCTCCCCTAAAGCATCCCTGTACCTGTACAGTGTTTCTGTAAATAGTTTGACGCATGTTTTCTCAAACAAAATATCAGAGTATTTCATTATGAAGAGATATTACGTGTATATTATAATAGATATCATATTCAGCATCTGCTTCGTGCTCCACTGCATCATTATCATTTGAATCAACTATACACTGGCAACTTGTAGCAGGATACTAGTGATGGGCAGTACTCAGTATTTTTTTATTTATTTTTTTTTGTTAAACAGGACAAGCTGGTTCAGATTTTATTATGAATTATGAGGGAAAAGATTCTGAAACAAATTTTTATTTGTTGTTTTTGGGGGTTTTTTGACAAGCTCACAGATAATAAACAGAGGTAGCCTGACATGTTCTGTGTAGACACTGGGCTTTCATTTGTGTTAAATGAAGGTACATCTTTGAATTCACAAGTCAGCAACCGCAACTGAATAAAATGTTGGTGTAAAACTTTCTTTATCCAAAGTTTTCCACTCAAGTCTAATGACTGACCTGTCGTACATAAATGTTGCCTGTTTACATGAGTGCTGACTGCTGCCAGATGTGGGGTCATACTAACTTGTTGGTTTTTAAGTTTTAACGATGGTTTGAGGCTTATCCAGTGTGTGCTTTACTCCTTGTCATCTCCTGTTGTTAACTTTGACCGTGTTAAGTCGGAGGAAACGATTATGAGGCGTGTTTTGCATCAGAGCATTCACGCGTCGCATCAGCTCAGATATACTTTAGATCAGGGGTATCAAACCCATTTTACATTTTGGGCCACATATGGCTCAATTTGATATCAATTAGGTCAGACCAGTAAAACTATCGGCTAATAACATATAGGCTTACAGTTGAAAAATAAAGGTGTAAATTACAGGAAAACCACTGGCAGTTCATTACCTCCCAGTTATCTACTTATCATTTAATTAAAAAAACAGACATTTTCTGTTAACTTACAATATGTTTTAATTTCTATAAGGAAGCATGGAAAAAAGGTTTTCTGTTATGTGATGGAATCTAACAATAATAAGAGAGTCCAAAGTTTATGCCCTTGTGAAGATTTCACATTTTCCAAAGCCATACGAGGGGCCTTCTCTGGCCCCCGGGCCATACGTTCACCTTCCCCGCTTTAGATGATATTAGCCGTTTTAAAACGAGGATTTGGAATCAGACACTTCAAATGTTTCCCATCCTTCAGTGTTTGATATCTGATGGTGGCTTTGGTTGTTCTGCATCATGTGTTTTTCTCATCAGGTCATTTGTTTGTATTTATGTGTGTCCTTTTTTCCTGTCATTATGAATATCATAGATTTATAATTTATTATGTATGATAAAGGCATATGTTTTTAAAATAAATACTACTACAAATCCAGCATTGTCTTCACTAAACAAGACTTTTTTACCTACAATCTTTGACCAAGCAGAAACCATTTCAATGAGCTCTGTGAGCTCTGATGGATGGAGTATAGTCAAACGTAAAATCAGAGGATTCCTTTTATTTGCAACAGTCATAGATTCAGTAAAGGGTCATTCAATATAAAATCAATCAAATATGAAAAACGTTCCCACTTTGACAAACTTGTTTTGGATCTAATCTGAAATGTTGCAACAATGATATAGAACGCGTGAACACCAGTGAAGTTTCTCAGTTTCACAGCTGTAATGTACAGTACTGCATGTGCATATTTACTGCATTTCAATAGCAGTCCTCTAATCTTCTTGACCACTTATGGAACTTTAGATGTCTAGTGTCACTGTTGAAAAGCCTGCTTAGCTTCTGAAATCAGATGAGATAGAGTATGTCCAGAGCAAAGCTAGGAGATGAGCCTGGTTATCAAACAGTAGGTATAACAGATCTTTCATGCGATCCACCTAACCCAAATGGTAATAAAAGCCTTGAAAATGTATTTATATATATATATTTGCAGGACCTTTAAAATTGTACATGGCCTTATTAAATATGCTAAATTTATTGTACAAAAACTTAGTGTAAACAGACTTATTTCAGTATACAGCAGGTGCTTGATAATGTACTGAGAGACCACACCATGTCACTGCAAGAATCAGGATTAAGACACAATGAAAATAGCCTGTTAATATTAAATAAGTCTTGAGAATAATCACAGATGTAAATGTATTTTATTAAAAGCTCAGCGTAACACCACGTAAGCCCACCTGTTTTAAATCCTTTAATTATGACAATGAAGCTTGTTCAAAGCTCAATATGTAAACAAAGAATGTACAGAATTAAGCAGTTTTACAGTTGTTACATCTGTTGTTAGTAAACTAGACCAAGTACATCAGTTATTTGTCATGCAAGTGCCTTCACAATCACGTGAAACTCATTTTTCACTAACATCATCCTGCACTGTGAAGCGTGAATGAGTAACGTGTCAGGAATGTTTTGGCTTGGTGGATTTCTGCCACACATTATCATGTAAACCTAAGAAAAACACATAGTGAGTAAAATATCTCCTGACTAGAGGTACACGTCTAAACAGTCTAAGTCGACTATAAAGCTTTGTCCCAATAACTAACAAAGAAGTAAGGAATGTATCGTCCTGCTTCCCTCCTGTTTTTTGAGATTGTCAAAGTTCATCACATCTAAAATCACAAAGGCTCAAAACAGACTTTTAAAGCATCAAAATATTGCACCAACCTGCATTTCATTATAACTTAAAAGCAAATCTTAATGTAATACTGAACTCAAAGTTTCAACATTCACAGAAATCAAGTGTGAAAAAGTGAAAACAAAAGTAAAAGCGGGGCCACTAACCAAACTATCATCTGCAAAATATTTACACCAACAACAGCTGAAAATGTTTGTTCACAAAGTCTTAATGGCACAAAGCTTATTTTATCTTTGTTACATTACTAGATCTGACTTCTTGTGGTTTGAACAGTCATTATTTGAGTTTACATACTTTTGTCTAATGTTCATAAATTAATTACATGAAAACAACACAGTGATTAAATGATCAAAGCGCTTCTTGACTGGCTGAAAACCAAACAGTACATCAGCATAATGTGTTTGTATGCATTTCCTGTTAATGGTTATTTAAGCTGTAACTGACTCTAAATTAATAACGATAAAGACGTTTGGCCTCAACAACAAACCAAAGGGAGCTCAACACGCTCTAGTTTAATGAAATGCATGCAAGTAGCAATTAATTTTTTTAAGTATCTTCCATCTGCCAGCGCATCAACTGCAAATCCAACACTCAATCAGACAGAAGGTTTTAAATACAGAGGCTTAAAACGGAGCCAAATCACGTAGATTAAAATATTCTGATATTTAGTTTTGCTAAATATCAAATATTAAATTGTTGAAAACAACAGGACAACACAGATTTTGGTTGCCTTTCATGTATGTGCTTACATAGGTACTAGTCAAACCCTCACAAAGGCCTATTCAAAAACTGGAAATATTTCTAGAGGACACAAAGAGGTGATAAACCAAACCATAAGGAAGCTTTTTTTGCCACCACACCAAAAACAAACAAACATACATAGATTTTGACTAGGACTCTCAACATTAACGCATCATCATGATTAATGTGATTAAAATCTTTGGCGGTCAGAATGGACAAACTTTGGACAAACTGCCCGAAATACATTGACGGAGACATTTCAGGGATTTTGAGTCATTCTGCAATTCAGATGGGTGAATTGCATAAAATTTTAATCGCGTTAAGTGTGATGACGGATTAATCTGCATTAATGTTGACAACCCTAGTTTTGAGCCGTAAGTAAAAAATGTATTTATTTCAATTTCAAGTTATTTTCTCAGAAGTTAGTCAAAGATTTTACTCATGGATGCCAAAAAATGTTTGTTGTCCATACAGCTTCCATACATGCTTGTTGTTTTTGTGATTTAAGTTATTGAAGTCAGCAGCAAGTCAGCTGCAAGTCGATAGACTGTGCTCCGTTAGCCAAACACAGTCTATCGTTTTTGCGTCCCCTGTAAATCTTTCAGGTGTTGTCTGTGCAGCACTTCTCTGTAGTTGGTTATTTTCTCTGAATGTTTCTAAATCTGCTTGTGTTTTTTCTATTTACCTGTGCTTTTAAAACAAAAAAACTGCAGTGTGTTCAACTCTCTCTGATGCTGCTGCTACTTGCGTGTGTGGATGTATGAAGGAAAGTCCGCAGTATCCACAATACCGTTGAGACCTTAGCACCAAAATGATTAAGAACAAAGCAATGCTATCAGTTATAAAACCACTTTAAGTCACTAACGCATCAGAGTTCATGAAAATACTTGAAAATGCAATGTCACAAAACACGTGTGATTTTCACTGTCAGCATAAAGTGAGTCACTACCTAACAACCACGTCTGAACCATCAGGAGGGACACAAACGTGAAGCAGCTCCCAGCATTAAAAATCCACTCTTACATATCAATATATCTATACATCAATTAAGTGTACCCAGCTGTACTCTGCACAAATAGGAAAATATGCACATTAAAAGTCAAGTGAATTTGAAATAAAACTTTCATCTGATTAAACTACTCCGAGTTCTTGGCATAAATTTGTGTGTCTGTGTGCGCACACAGGAAATGACGTATTATTATATACGTTCACACCATTGTTCACTTTACCTCAGAAGAACAAGGCTCTATCTTTTCGACATGTCCCACTGTAGTTTGAGATCTATGTATAAAAATATGGGTACATCTTATACAGCATGTATTTAAAGGGGCTGCATCAAAGTATGGCTTTGACATACGTTTGGGACTCCTCATCCTCAACTAAACTTGTGTATTACAGACGTATCAATTATTTTTACATTTGTTATAAAGTATCTTACTCTGTAAAATACATATTATTGTACTGTCTTAGTAAAAGCGGTTTATAGAAACATAGAGGAATAAGCCACACAGTGAAACTTAACATTGAAGGAAAGTCAGCTTTCATCCTGAGAATCTGTTTGAATCCATTTCATGTTATCATTTACATGTGTCAGTGTTTAACCCTCAAGTGACCATGCTCCTTTAGCCACTAAAATGACCAAGTGTGGTCATTTATGACCCTATTATATTATATGCAAGAACTCTTTTTTTAAAGGGCTCTGTTAGTGCTTATCATACCTATGCTCTAATATCATTCAATAATGCTTTTTTTATGCTCTTTTGCATTGTTTATGCAAAAAACAGACCTTATTATCTGTCTGTTACTTCTATTGAAACTATTTTCTTTGTTTCAATAATACTAGGGGAAAAAAAAGATTCATTTTAAACCTTGAGGTATGTTTGTTTTACAGCATGCCAATTTTAACTCTAAAATATAGGGGAAAAGAACATTTAAAAAAAGGAACTGCAGAAAACTCTAGATGAAGTAACTATCAAATTCATAGTAGGGAACATTAAAAGTAATCCCAGTATAAATATAGTCCTACTCGGCCACTTGAAGTTTAAACTTTAGAGGTGAGAGGCAGTGATGGCTTCAGTTTTGTGTTTGTTGTCTAGAGTCATCCTGATGTAGAGGGTCTTTTTTTCCAGTTTGTGTCCTATCGCGAGCGAGCCGAAAAGCAACGCATGTACTCAGTTAGCCAGGGGTTGAACTCAGGTTGGACCACTTTTCTGGCCTTGTCCAGGTCAGCGGACTTGGCTCTCCGCCGCTCAGACCGCTGAGTCTGGATATGACGCTCCACCTCCCGCCTGGTCTTAGCACGCAGAGCCGATTCATAGATCTATCAGGTAAACAAAAATCCAATGTAACAACAAGCTTCTGTATGTACCTGTCAACAAATCCACTATGACAGTAAAATAACCTCATTAGTCGAAGCCACTGGGCCGACGTTGTGCGTCTTCCTTCCTGCAGTGTCTGCATCTTTCTCCCCCGACCCATACAAGGCGAAAGGATGTCTGCTCTCCTTACTGTCCTCTCTGGGCAGTCGAGATGGTGCAGGCCTGACCCGCTGTGATTGCCGGGGTTGCCTCAAGGACTTTGAGGGTTTACTCTGCTGTGGTCGGGGTCCTTCAGAGTCTCTCTCTATAAACAGAAGAAGCAAACGGGCTAAAGCACCACCAACATGGAAGAGGAACTCACAAAATAAACCAGAGGCACTATAAACTATCTATGGACGTTGCTTATAACAGAGAGTTGTTTGCTAAAAGCAAAATACAAATTGACTTAACTTTAATCAACTTTCAGTTCATCATTTCATTAACAATGTTTATTATAAGGCTTTTTCATTTATTTATTTATTTTTAATTGACTCAGCAACTGTTAATTACTTATTACCTCTGTTGCTGGCTCTCTGCTCCTCTTGTAGTACCTTTGTCTCCCTCATAGCATCAGATGCTGGGCCAAAAGAGCAAAGAAAATCGTAAGTTACAGTAAAGTATCAAGCATGTATCCCTACAATGCAGTAATAGGGCAACTGAATGAAAAAGAAATAAAGGAGCTGGACAAGAGGGCTCAAATTTGGAGAATAAACTTGACAACCAAAAGCTTTGAGTCAAAGACTTAAGAATTTTTCCGGGAACATTATTATTACTATTATTATTATTATTATTATTATTATTATTATGAACAACCCACATCACCCACTGCATGAGTATGTGAGTGGGCTGAGCAGCTCCTTTAGTCACAGACTGAAACACCCTCGCTGCAGGAAGGAGCGCTTTCGCCGATCATTTATCCCAACAGCAGTTAGACTCTATAACTCCTCAATCACAATGTCATAAGTCACTGGACACTGTGAACATCCACGGTCACCACTTCATGCATAATGGACCTTCCATGTGTATGGACATTTGCAGGTATATATGTATGTATATGTATACATATGTATATTTAGTGTCTACATGTGTGTGTGTACATGTCTATAAATAGGAATAGTAGTGGTACAATAGCTATATCAAGCTATATACTTTATGTCTTCCATATTTCCAACCATATCCATAATCACATACTGTGTATGCTACCATTGTATATAGTGTATTATCTTACTTTTTTTCATTGATTGTACTTATTTGTATTTTTGTATTTCCTTCTGATATCTGTACCTGAGCTGAGGTGATGCAAAGATTTACCCGTTGTGGGATCAATAAAGTCTTATCTTATCTTTATTATTATTATTATATTTTCGGTGGCTTTAATACATAATATTTAAAATGATACATCCCAGTATGTTATTAAGGGTTTTATACAGGTTACCATGAAGTGCAGACTGTGCAGCAGGCCCTGTATCCTCCTCCTCTTCTTGAATAGGAAGCCTGGGTACGGGCCCCGAGGTTCTGCTCTGCTCCTGCTGTGTGTCCGTCCTCGCACCCCCACACTCCTCTAGCTCAGCCTCCGCGCGGCCACCGGTATCCTCCTGGTCCCGTACCTGGTTCTTGCTTGGAGGAATAGGAGGACTTCTACCTCCCGAGTCCGAGTCAGTATCGGAGCCGCTCCAGAACCAGGGGTTGTGCGTGTGTTCCAGCAGCCTGCGGGTCAGCCTGTACTTCAACATCTCCTCGTAACATTTAGTGTACGTGTCCCATTTGGGATCTTTGAACTTCTTCATGTACTCCGAGCGGATCCTCTTCGCCACCATCTTGCTCCTCTGAAAACTCTATAAACTGAAAAAACAGCTTGTTGTTACTCAAGCAGAACACGCCTAAACAGCCTCCACGCCCCTTTACACACAGCTCCGTGTTTGTTAGCACCGCCAGACATTTAAAAGATAATGGGGAAGCCGTTAAAACCAATGACGGAGCAGCACGAGGGGTTCCCCCTCCTCTAAGGAGCCCGCCTACATCCTGTCGAAGGCGGATGCAGGCGGGGGCAGTTTGCCTCCTTGTGTTAGGAAAGAGGACAAAAGACAAATCTGGGGACAATTACATAGTAAACGATCCATTTTTAATTCATTTAATCGGCGTTTCATTTTTTTAAATGGCCTCCGGTAAAACCCGTTACATCGTTAAGAGCAGAAAGTTCCTGAACGCGATGACGTAAGTGCCACCTTCTCCTCTGATTGGCCGCAGAGGTGTAAACTGCTCTTGAGTATTGCAATTTACAGGTCGGATACAAATCAGTATGAAAAAAGGAAACAAGAAACAAAAAAACACGACAGGCTGTGAAACGCATTCAGCTACAGCTCTACAAGCCTGTCCTCACTGCTGAAAAATGCTGTTCCGTAGTCCAGCTAATCAACACATGCGTACAGAAAGCACAAGTGTACCATACGCCATTAGGCTGTAACTGAGAATCAGTGAGCTGGCTATTTATTGCCTGTAGCTTTTATAGCTATTACCTCCTCATGACAAATGTGTTATTTATAAACCTCCATTATTAATCATATGGCGCTAATACTGACACAGGGCAGTGATAATCGCCTGTCAGCGCCCGCAGGTGAAGCGCAGTAAACGTTAAATGTCACAGACCATCCATCGTCACTACTCAACAGCAGTGCGCGCCTGGCACGGAGAAATTCGGGGCTGTAACTGTCTAATTTTGCGTACAGTAAATATACTCACATCGGGGTCGGATTTCACGGAAGCAGAGCAGGACAGATGGCGTTCACAGTGCCGCTGCTGTAATCACACACGGGACTGCGTCTCCGAGCTTAGCTCCGCCCACCTGAAGACGTTTTTAAAAAGCCAAACACACCCGCAACAGGTGGCCCCGCGCCGGGGTGTCAGGAATGCCGTCTGTGCGGCCATGGAACTTGTAAAAAATGGCAAAAGAGGATGGAAATACAGTTTGTTTTTGTCGTATAAGGTATGAGCCGTTTAGGCTTCAGTGATTACACCTAGGCCAACTTGTTAATTAAGATAAATGGTGCTCTGTAGGGGGGGTAACAGGAAACATGTTGGCTTACAATAGGCTACTCGGGTGCTATAAATGATGTGCGCGCCTACAGCCTACTCCCAAACCTACATCTACATAACCTGTGAGCTTATATGCATATAAGGTATAATCCTGCGGAGATGACCCACGGTACCCGGAGTCTGGTTGTGTCTAAAGATGGTCTGGGGGCCGGTGGGTGAGCTCCTATGGTCGTGCAGGGAGGGTGTCAGGTGTCGGATATGCTACTAATCCAGTCAGTCTAAAAGGCTGAGCTGCTGCTGCTGCCTTCGCGCATTCCTGGCAAGTCAAACACCGACTGTCGGCAACTGCTCGAAGGCGTCGCCCTTCAATACCTCTTTCACCTAGCAGCCCCTCCCCCTGCCTCTCGTCCATCCAAACATGATCCAGACATTAGTGCCAGCTCGCGTTTAGATGTCCATGAATGCGCCCTGCACCTGGTCTTTCGTGGAACAATTAGCCGCACTATGTTTCGTTTAGTGGTTATCCCGGTTTATTTCCCACAGTTCTTGCAGGATTTGTTGAATACTGTAATATTGCATTGTTGGCTTATGGCAAATTTATCTTTTAAGAGATAAAAATGTATTTATCGTCTGATTTCCCTGCGCTTTTGTTTGTCATCCTCTGCCAATACCGGAAAAACAAGACCAGGGGCAAAGTTACCAAATAATGGACTTTAATAAATTATCAATATGTATATACACTTACATTCACATGTGTTGGGCAACATGTTGTTCTTATTTTTTTTATTAAAGTTTTTTTGGTGGATGCATGGTTCAGTGGTGGTTTTCACAGCCTTTCTCCGTGCAACACAGACAACAGACAGCCATAAAATATGCACATTTTTGAAAGGATTAAAAAATGCATATGAATGTCAGCAGCGCGGACAGACAGTCCATCGACAGCAGAGTGTTGTCGTGCCGCAGAGGTCGATCCTCCTCCTTGCTTGATCTCCAGACGGCTGGTGGTAAAAATGATTGAGATGATGGAGAAGCTGGAGAAAAAGATGAAGGATTTAGAAGCACTTCCTGTGGACAATGCTGGGGCCGGCCTCGTCGTACTCCTGCTTGGAGATCCACATCTGCTGGAAGGTGGACAGGGAAGCCAGGATGGAGCCACCGATCCAGACGGAGTACTTCCTCTCGGGAGGAGCAATGATCTGGAGGAGGAAAGAGTGGATTAGTAAAGTGCCGGTTTCTATAAGTAAACAAGTGTTCAGTGAAATCGGGTGCGTATTTGCCAATTTATGCATAAAATATTTCAATCTTCTTGTAAACTCTGAAACTTTTGCTTCTCTGATTTGAGTTCAATTTCAAGTACCTTGATCTTCATGGTGCTGGGAGCCAGGGCAGTGATCTCCTTCTGCATACGGTCAGCAATACCAGGGTACATGGTGGTACCGCCGGAGAGCACATTGTTGGCGTACAGATCCTTACGGATGTCAATATCGCACTTCATGATGCTGTTGTAGGCAGTCTCATGAATACCAGCAGACTCCATACCTGTTCAGGTGAGATGAAAAAGTGTTAAGAAATTATTACCCGGTATGTACCAGTAGCCTCCATAAGTCTATTTGGTGGCAAAAACTTTTTTTTAAAAGAACTGATTCTTTGAAGTACCGATGAAGGAAGGCTGGAAGAGGGTCTCGGGGCAACGGAACCTCTCGTTACCAATGGTGATGACCTGACCGTCGGGAAGCTCGTAGCTCTTCTCCAGGGAGGAGGAGGAGGCAGCGGTGGCCATCTCGTTCTCGAAGTCCAGAGCCACATAGCACAGCTTCTCCTTGATGTCACGCACGATCTCACGCTCGGCTGTGGAGTTATAAGTTGATAAGTTATTATTCAGAGTGCCAAAAGCGTGAAGCGTGAAATACTAATGTGCGTAATAACACGGATTTAATGGGCTAAACTACACAAATTCTTCGCTGTTGTGAACATGTACACATCTTATTTTCACTCTATTTAAAACAATATCTTTACATTTAAGTATCAATATGCTCGCATGTGGGCATTAATAGGCCTCACAAAGTGTGACAATTATTTGCTGCGCCTTTTGATCTGTATGGGTAAATCTTTGATCAAAGCATGTCATAGCAAATTATCCCAAAAACTGCTAATAAAAGTGAACGCTAACTGACAATTTAGACTCGTCTTCGCCCAGATAACGTCTTGCTAGAAAATGTTAGTTTCCTTCTTTCTTTTTCCTCTTTCTTTCAGGCCGTGTTGATTATTGTTCAATTGCTCACCAGTGGTCACGAAGGAGTAGCCACGCTCAGTCAGGATCTTCATCAGGTAGTCGGTCAGATCGCGACCAGCCAGGTCCAGACGCATGATGGCGTGGGGCAGGGCGTAACCCTCATAGACTGGGACGTTGTGGGTCACACCATCACCAGCATCCAGCACAATACCTATAGAGAGCCACGGATAAAATTTAGTAAAGTCCGAGCGACAAAAAACGAAAAAAAAAGGTTAAAAAATACGTTTTGTGCGTAAAATCATGGGTAAAGTGGGTGCTTTGGGGGTGAATTTACGAGATAAAGTCAAATAAATCTACATGAACAGTTCCAGAAAGGCTGGTCGAGTGTGCGTAAAAGTTGTGCGTAAAAGCGTTTTGTTGTGAAATTGCTCCCTCAATAGTTATTGTCATTTATGTTAGATCGATTGACTATGTCAGTAACATATTATTAAGTAATAAGGTAAACTAGCTATATGTGTTTTATGTGTTTAGTAAGCTATGTTTGTTTATTTGTTTTATGTCAGTCTTACCAGTGGTACGGCCGGAAGCGTACAGGGACAGCACAGCCTGGATGGCCACATACATGGCAGGGACGTTGAAGGTCTCAAACATGATCTGGGTCATCTTCTCCCTGTTGGCCTTGGGGTTCAGTGGGGCCTCAGTGAGCAGGGTGGGGTGCTCCTCGGGGGCCACTCTCAGCTCGTTGTAGAAGGTGTGGTGCCAGATCTTCTCCATATCGTCCCAGTTGGTGATGATGCCGTGCTCAATGGGGTACTTCAGAGTCAGGATACCCCTCTTGCTCTGGGCCTCGTCACCGACGTAGGAGTCCTTCTGACCCATACCGACCATGACACCCTGAAGGGAGGAGAGAGGGGAAGATAAAAGGAAGGTTAGCCGGGGACGTCAACTGATCCATACAGATGTGCGACCTTTCCTGGACAGATTAAAGTCTTCGGACAGACACAGTGACCATTGCGTAAATGTGCCACATATCAGTCACAGAGACAGACAGAGCAGTTGTGAAGTTGGCACTTCATCTGTTACTAATTTAAAGGCTGCTCCAGGTAAAAGAAGCCAAAAATATTGTGACTGCGCTGATATCAGCTGCGCAAGCAGCTGAACTTTTACAATCATTTTTAGCAATAAATGTTAAATGTTTTAACAATCCAAAATGTTAATTTATTGTTTTTGTTTATTGCATTTTGATTTTAATTTATTTTTTGGAAGGTTAATTGTATTTCTTGATATTGAACGGTGTGATGGGTGAGGTGTGACAATTAGTGAGTGTGAAATAATGACTGCCGCCAATTAGTCCAGGCTAATATCAAGTCTATCGGTTAATTTTCTTCGCTGTTTACCTGGTGGCGGGGACGGCCGACGATAGAGGGGAACACGGCCCTGGGGGCATCGTCTCCGGCGAAGCCAGCCTTCACCAGGCCGGAGCCGTTGTCGCACACAAGGGCGGTAGTCTCATCGTCGTCACACATGTTGGCTTCTGTAAGAGAGGAGAGGAAGACAAAATATTTGAGTTTAAATCACATCAAATCCATAATGTATGTGACAGAAATGAATTACACAGTAAGGCGTTGATTAACTCTATCATTATTTTGTATTCTCATCCTACGTGTGGCTAAAAAGACTAAAAATAATTTCACGGAGCATGAACCTGTTCAAGTCCACTGCTTGCGCTATATAAATCTATGGTGCATTAACAAACCAACGCGTGATGAGTATCTTTTGTAAACGTCAATTAAATCTTATTAAAAGTAACTGATATTATTTTTAAATTTTCTATTGGAATTTAGCCAGACTTGTCTAAGATTTACTTTTTATTTAATCTTAGAAGAAATCAAGGCTCTAAAATAAGCTAAAGTTGAACCAAAATCCCTAGTATTCCCATTGTCTCACCAATCCTCCCTCAGGTAAATTTCTCTCGTTTTTAAATTGTCATAAAGTAGAACAGCTTAAGATCAGACCAGAAACTCAGTCCAAATGTTTTATCTACCTATCTATCAATTTATCAATTATTTAGTCTATTTAATTACAGATCTGATAGTTTAGGCTTCTCCTGTCAAGCACAGTGTTTGTGTTCTGCCTCCTCAACTGTAAACAGTTCTTCTTCCTTCAGGTCTCTCCTATGGTCTAGCTATCCTCCAGCAGTCGTGTTGCCCCAAATCAGCCTCAAGTCCTATGCCTCCTGTCCCCGGTGGTCCTTCCTAATTTTTGCCCCTAAGTAATTGCAGTGGCTCCCCGGTTAAGGCTTAGTCTAGTGTCCCAGCCTGGATGAGTGGCTTCAGGAGTGTCAGGTCCTAGCAGGGTCTTACCTTAGGGGTGTGTCTGCGGCTCGGAGAGAACGACCCAACCAGTGCTGCTGCTGAACCAGCTACAGTCCTTACTGCTGCCTGTCCACCTTTTATACCGAACGTCCACCATTCACAAACCTCAGCACTGGCCCCCATCCCGGCCCTCTGCCATATTAGGATACTGACAGGCCGAGGCTAGGGAGTGGGTGGAGGTG